ACAAATCACCCCAAAAACCACAAAAACACCCAAAAAACCCTCAAAGCACCTCCAAAACAACAGAAACACCCCCAAAAGCCCAAAAACACCACTAAAACCCCCAAAACACCAAAACCACCCCAAAATAATCCACAAAACCAACACAAAACCACCCAAAATACCCAAAAAGCTCCTAAAATCCCCAAAACACCCCCAAACCACCAACAACCACCCCTAAAACACAAAAAAACCCCAAGAAAACCCCAGAACAAAACCCAAAACCACAATACCCCCAAAACCACCCAAAATACCCCCAAAACAAAAATACCCACACAAAATCCCCCAAATACCCCCAAAACAAAAATGCCCCCAAAAAATCCCCAAAACCACCGCAAAAACAACAAAAATGCTCCAAACCCCAAAACCACCCCTAAAACAAAAACACCCCATAACCAACAAAAAACAGCCAAAATACCCCCCAAACCACCCAAAATACCCTAAAAACCTCCTCAAATCACCGCAGAACCCCCCAAAACCAACAGAACAAGAAAAAAAACCAAACCACCCCCAATATCCCCAAAACTACCCCAAAAACATCATAAACACCCTAAAAATCCCCTGAAAAAACTAAGCGCTTCTGTAGCTTAGTGTAAAGGAAATAGCTTGAAGTTAGTGTTTGAGACCGAATCTGTAATCAGTTTTATTGGTACATCTTAGAAAGATATAAAGACATTCTAGAAATGCTTGGAAGAATTGAAATAATCCAAATTCTGCAAAAATATATTTGTAACAGTAAAGTTCATATGAGTTTTCATTAATAAATATTTACATGTACAAACCCCCCATATAAACTTAGTTTCCTTTTATCATAAACAACTTATTTCATTCCAGCACTATCAAAAGCCAGATGCCTTTCTGTAAAAAAGATTTAGGAAAAAAAGTTCTCCTTCCACTTTTAAAAGTAAGAGCTTTACCAAATCTCAATGTGCAAAAAAAAGTGTACACCAGTACCAAAATCAAATCTGTCAGTACAAATGCATGTAAGGAGAAGAGGTGAATCCATGGATCCAGGTCTTCACTGAAGAGACATCAGTCGTTTGAGCCTTCAGGTGGAAGGAAGACGAGTGCATCATTGTATGTGTGGCCATAGGGTCTCAGCCTGTAGACACCATACATCATCACATGCATGTGGTTTGGGGCCAGTCCACTGAACATGTCAGAGCAGCAACCATCCACTAACTGCTCAGGTGTAGATGTAGACATCGCTTCTTTAATGAGAACACCGAGTGATTTAGTGTTAAAGACATCTTTTCCTTCTGAATCTTCCATGTTTTCGGCAAACACTCCAGTATACTTCAGGCAGATTGGTAGCTGTTTATCCTCAGCAAGTTTCCAAATCAAACCTCCCTGCTCCGGACACTTGTCAGAGTCTTCAAGAACATGGGACAGGCGTCTTAGTGATTCAATGCTTAAGACAATTCCTCCCCCACCATCTACGTACTCAAGGTCACCAGGTTTCACAGTATGGCCTATATAAAAAGGCTGCAAGGGGTCTCTCCGCAGTAGGAAATACTTGAGATTTTCAATAATAGCAAATGTTGTTGGATATGCAAGGAAGAATCAGTTGAATTCATCTTTATAGAGTTCATGTGTCATCTTGTAAGCTTTTCTCAACATCACCCAAATATCATTTGTGTTGAGAGCTACAGAATCAAATGCTTTGACGTTATTAGAGCTGTAGAACTCTGCCCTGTCACAGTGCTTGCTCCATGTCTCTTTCACTGCAGCCCCGTGCCCCAGATCTTTGGGTTTCACAAGGATGATACAATAAATGTGGATACTTTTACTAAGCTCCACACGCTCAGCTTCCGAAACGTTTAAGACATCTTCTTTGCTGGGAGCCTGGATGTGATGATGCTCATGGTGATGTGCTTTAGTGCTGTGGCCCACCTTAACATGTCAGAAGGGGCATAGCCAACATGCAGAAGGCCTCTCCTAACACGACACCCTTCATGAAGAAGCTGCTTTCAGAAATCATGTTTCCTAGAAAGGAGACACACTGTAAGCACTCACAGGAATAAGTCTACTACTGCAGACTCCGTACAGTTTTAACGCATTCTTCAATTTCTGAATGTGGCTGCATTTCCCTTTG